ATGCACATGTGCATGGGAAGCATTGTAATTCGTTCTTTCTTGTAAGGGTGGTTGCTAGTTAATATCTCTATAATGAGAGAATTCTCATCATCTCATATTATAAAAAAGATAATTTTACGCAATCCTAGATATTACAAGATTAATATATAAATACCACAAGTAGAAAGTGATATACTAAACAAGGAATCCGGCGAGAGAACCTAAAGGATATGCTAGATGCAAGAACCAAAGAGTAGCTTCTCATTACTAAAAACAGTTAGCAAACTCACGGAGTATAAGATGACAGTATCATCCTTATATTTATGATGAATTAAAACAAACAAATGACATGTATATCAAAAGTCAAAAGAAACCACAAAAATATGTCATATTTTCTTTAATAGTTGATGATGCAAGAATGAAAGGTGGAAAATTGGATCCACCCTTTTCCTGAACATTATACAAGTAAAATTAGCAATAATGTAGAAAGCACAGGGCTGTAAATTAAGCCACGAGAAGAAGAAAACTTTCCTCTTTCACAAATTAAAATTTATTCCAATAGCATATGCCTCCCAAAACACATCCAACCTTTTATAAGCCTATGAAACCCTAATTTAACTTGAGATCTAAGTAAACATTTATGACTCTAAAATACCCCTAAAACAATACTTAAAATTCCAAACAATACCCATGTGAATAATAATGCATGAACAATATCATGAATAATACTTCTGAATAGTAAATAAAAATATATAAAAAACCCTATAATCCCAAAAAAACTTAAAATCCTAAAACTAAAATCAAAATATACAACATTTAAAATTGAATAGAAATTAAAAATAAGTATAATTTTACCCTCCATCATTCTCCCCTGATTGGAGAAAACTCACGCTCGAGTTTGAAATGTGCTAAGATGAATTCAGTATCAAAACTGCATTCTTCAACGTTCTTCTTCTTTATTGGCTCAAATACTATTTGTGGTCAAAATAATTCTCAAGATTCGGATCCTAATATATCTTGAGGAATAGATGCAAATTAATCAAATTCAGCTGAATACCTCCTATTGACAATTGTGTAGGAAACTTCAAACCCATTTTTCTATACTTTAGAAGCTTTCTCGACATCTATCTCATTAGTCTCTGAAACCAGAGCCACAATTTGAAGATTCTCAATCGACCATGCTTCCAGTGCACTACTTTGATTCCAATGCCCTAAATCTCTTAAATGTTCCACCACTCTGATATCCTAAAGATCTTCATCTTTTTCTTCAACTAAGTCCCATGATCCATTATGTTGAACATGAGGGTCCAACGTGGAGCACGTGCATAGAACGGGTGGTTGAAAGCAGCTTCATCACTTAACTCCAATTCTGCGTCGGACTCTGATTCGCACCATTCTCCATAAACATTCTCACAATTTGGATCTATCCTCGTAGATTCCTTTTTATTTAAGGCACGTTGTTGCTGGCCCCGCTTTTGCAGCAATAGCTCTATAACCCTCTCCGTCAAGTTGTTGATTTCCTAGTGAAGTTGAATCAGATTGGCACCCCTACGGCTAAGACCTCCACGCCAAGCCATCGCAATATCTAACCATCCTCGATCCATGCTCTGATACGACTTAATGCAAGAAGGAAAGGTGGGAAATTGAATTCATTCTTGTCTTTAATTTTAAACAAGTAAAAGAGACAATAATGGAGAAAGAACATGGTTGTAAATCAAGACAATAGAAGAAAACTCCATTATTTCATAAAATAAAATTATTCGAATAACATATGCCTCCCAAAATATGACATCCAACATTTTATAAGCCTATGAAACCCTAATTTAACTTGAGATCCAAGTAAATATATAAAACTCTAAAATTGTAAAATAATATTAAAATTCTAAAAATACCCATGTGAACAATAACTAAGAACAATACCACGAATAGTAATGTGAATACTAAATAAAGGAAACCCTAGAATCCCCAAAAAACATAAAATCCTAAAAATAAATCCTAAAACTAAAATCAAAATATATATCATTTAAAATTGGAAAAAGTTTATATAAGGTTACAACCTTAAAATGCCTCAAAAATCTATCGGACAAGGTTGTTTTAATGATGAAAAACCCTCTAATTGATCATCTCCACATCGAGATGCACGAATATAAACAAAAAAAAGATTTTGAGTCCTCAAAATAGTGCATATTCATTTTCAAGATTTTCATACATTTATAGATCTACTTAATTTTAAGCATTTTTTGAGTTTAAAATTTTATAATTAGAGATGAAAATAGATTTTAAGATAATCCTAAGAATTTTTTACACCAAAATTACATCTTATGATAAAATTTGGAGCTACGCTTTAATTGGATTGTTTAAAGTTGCAACCTTATAGAAACCACACCCTTTAAAATTGAATAGAAATAAAAAATAAGTATAATTTTGCTCTTCATCATTCTCCCTGGTTGGAGAAAACTCGTCCTCGAGTCTTAAAATGTGCTAAGATGAATTCAACATCAAAATTGCATTCTTCAACATCTTCCTCTGTGTTAGCTCAAATACTATTGTGGTAAAAATAATTTCTCAAGGATCTTGATATATATATTGAGGAATCGATGCAAATTTATCAAATTCAGCTATTCAGCTCCCAATGAAAATCATGTAGGAAAATTTAATCCCAATTTTGTATACTTTAGAGGCTTTCTCGACATCTTATCTCATTACTCTCTGAAACCACGGCCACAATTTGAAGATTCTGAGTCGACCATGCTTCTACTGCACTACTCTTTTACCAATGCCATAAATCTCTGAAATGTTCCACCTCTTAGATATCCTTAAGATCTTCATCTTTTTCTTCATTAAAGACAGGTTCACTTATGAAAATCTTGATAATCATCATTGATTGGATTTCTTACAAGATCTTGTTCATCATCTAAGTATGTATCGAAAATTGACGGTAAATCTCAATCCACAACCTGCTGATTTTCAATAAGATCTACGCCAAAATCAACCTCATTCTCCTTTAAATCATGTAGATTAACTAAATCCCATGATCTATTATCCTGAGCATGCGGCTCCTAACGCGGAGCACGTGCTTAGAACAGTTGGTTGAAGGCAGCTTCATCATTTAGCTCCAGTTTAGAGTCGGACTCTGATTCGCGTCATTCTCCATAAAAACTCTCATAATTGGATCTATCCCTAGAAATTCCTTTGTGACCCTCTCATGCCGTTCTCCATAAAAACTCTCACAATTTGGACTCTGGCCCCACTTCTGCAGCGATAGCTCTGTAACCCTCTCCTTCAAGTTGTTGATTTCCTTGTGAAGTTGAATCAGATTGGCATCCCTACGGCAAAGACCTCCATGACAAGCCATCGCCATCTCCAACCGTCGTCGAACTATGCTCTGATACGACTTGATGCAGGAAGGAAAAGTAGGAAATTGAATCCACCTTTTTCTTAAACCTTAAACAAGTAAAATCAACACTAATGGAAAAAGAATGTGGCTGTAAATTAAGCCAATAGAAGAAAACATTATTTTGTCATAAAATAAGACTTATTCCAATATCATATGCCTCCCAAAATGTGCCATCCAGCCTTTTATAAGCCTATGAAACATTAATTTAACTTGAGATCCAAGTAAATATTTAAAACTCTAAAATAGCTCTAAAACAATACTAAAATTTCAAAAACACCTTTGTGAACAGTAATACATGAACAGTAACACGTGGAAAGTAACGGTGAAAAGTACCATGAATACTACTTGTGAATAGCAAAGAAAGAAAATATAAGAAAACCCTAGAGCCCAAAAAAAAAACATAAAATCCTAAAAATAAATTCTAAAACTAAAATCAAAATATAAATCCCTCATAATTGAATAGAAATTAAAAATAAGTATAATTTTGCGCTCCATTAGTTGAGAAATAAGTGTTGTATTATTGGTAGTACAGGTCCCTATTTAACAAATAATGAAAGCTTTTCACCCGGAATCCCCAAAATGGTCTTTCCACCAAGTTTTTGGGTTTCTCACACCTCCCCTCTCAAAGAAGCTCCTGTTATGTGCCTCATAGCTAATGTTGTACCCTATCCTAACAATTAGGGTTCCTCTTTTTTGTCATTCGGCAAACTCAATATCCAGTTAAAATGTCTATAAAGTCACAACAGCTAACATTCCTATAACTATCAAAGGGCAATTGGAATTTAGGTATTGCCTTCTAATATAAATAAGCAAAATTAGAAAAGAACAGAACAAATTGTTTGTAACTAAAGATATATCTATGATATGTTATATGGCACAAGGTTGCATGTGTGATCTTAACGGCACTTTATAAATCCCTTTCATTATCAAAATGGACCCTTTGTTGAGTTGCATTTATGAATCGCAAACCGGAACTTTCAAGTTATAAGAATTTGTACAAACAATTGACCAGGCATGAAGTTTACAATCTAATCAAACATGTAGACAGAGTAAATATTACTGATAGAAATATTAACACTTAAACCATCTGATTTTAGTTTCACTCTGCACAGAAAGCGTGAAATAGGAAGTAGATAGTTTTGAGAAAAATCGCCATAGTAGTGAAAAGATTATAAAACTATCTGCAAGCTGCCACTAAGTTTTAAATGCTTAAAGTAGAGGCCCACATCTATGGATCTTGTCCTAGAATATTCTTCAAACCTGAGGAATTATAAACTTTATTCACATATAAACAAATGTCTCCAACAAGTTTCTCTGACCCTTCCATTATGACATATAACTCTCAGATATTTCATCCTTTTATACAAACTGAAGTATCACATGTTCCAAAAGATGAAACCCAAGTTAACATTTTCAAATACCACCATCCCTAACAGCACGAACCTTTCCTTCTTTAATGCAACACCAAAGAAAATAGGGATCATCTCGATACTATATAAATACGAAACTGTGAATTTTGTTTCAAGTTTCATAAACTTCAAATTGCAAGTGAATAGGATCTTCTGAAAGAAACGTATCAATGAAATCAGGAACAAAGTGGGCAAGAGAGATAATGACAACAAACCCTGGTCAGCAACTAGCCATCGGCATGAATTGTCTGCAAAAAGTGCAATTTTTTCATCTGGGAAAATTCCAGCAACTCTCAATCCTTCAGCAAAGTTCAAAATTTCTTGCTCCAGCTGCCACTCAGACACAGTAAATCATTTTCAGATGTGTTCATCAAAAGACAAGAATAAATAAGTTATAATATTCTTATTTGGTGGGGAACCATTTTAAGATACCCACTAATGCAGAATACATCTTAAAACATCTAGTTTTGAACTTTAATAAAGCTCCAAGGAGTGAAAACCAATGAATATGTTTATTACTTTTGTTAACCTAGAAAAAATAGATGTTTTCATTGTCAACATCCAAAAGTTACATTTCACTCAAACGTGGAAAATGCTTCTTTTCTCCATAAGATTAGACTATATAGAAATATTTTGGAAGACAAGAAGAGGGTTATGCAAAAGGGTGAAGGAATTTTAAGCTCAAATAAGTAATACACAAAAATGTAAATTAAGCTTCCAACACCGGTAATTCCAAGTTGCAAATGCTAAACCCTTTGAATGAGCTTCAAATGCCAGAGTTTGGTAACTTTTGAGTGAAAAAGGAGATGGCACAATACTTAACTTCGACGGTCAGCCATCTCTTTACCACTTGTGGAGAAGCCAATCTTCACAAAGTCATCGAAGAGGAAGCCAACTTGGTTATGCAAGCAGGTAAATGAAAGGCTATGTTCTTTGGTGTGCATAAGCAAGATATAAAATAAGAATTTGCCTCTCTTGTGTGGGAAAATCTTAAGCAAGACGAAATTGAATTTGGGGCTTGCTGCGCAAAATGGAGCTTTCCTTTGTCACAAATAATGTAAATAAAACATATTGGTTGGTTTAACTCTAGCATGCTCACAGATGTTAATTCGACTAAAGATTTGTTAATCATGGTCCACTAACAACTCAAACTTTCAACCAACCTAGCTTTGGAAAGTAGAGACGCACAACGACCATAAGGACATGGGACACCAGAGGGACATAGGTATGAAGAGAATAGAGAAATGAAGAAAGGGAATTAAGGGAAGGGAAAATTATAGTGTACAGGGGACACTCGATAACTTAAATTGAGGATCAAGACATTATTAGTTCTACTTCATAAAAGTTTTCTAGATATAGTGAAATAGCTACTAGAACCTTTAAGGACAACCCCACATATATGTTTGTGATTTGACAACTTTGACTAAATGTTATGAGCAATGTTTAATATAGTGCCAGATATGTTTTCAAATTCGCTTTGGAGGCCTCCGCATTTTGGCACAAAAACAGAAGCATTTTGGCACAAAAACAGAAGCACTTCGGCCAATTTGGGGAAGTCTTCATATATATTGTAAAATATAAAAATAATAAATTTTCAAATAACAAAGATAATATTATAACAAATTATTAAAGGAAAATTGTCACTTTAGTGAAAACATTTTGTAAACTTCTAAAAAAGTCAAACAAATTCTCCTAGGCAATTTTATTTTTTAAGTTCAGTTATTGTCCTTTAATTCATTCAGAGAGAGAGAGAGAGAGATTGTATTCCACCCCCTATGGCCATATGCACAATCCTCCCTCTTTCATTATGCTTGCTCCTCTCCTTTCATGATCCTCTCACTGAAAGTATTTATAAGAACACATGTGGCCAGTTAAATAGTACACATGGCATGTCACATTATGATACAAGTCAAAGGTATTTTAAATAATTCAGGTGATATTTTGATAATATCAATATTTTAAATAAGTCAGGTGATACCTCTCTCTCATTAAGAGAGAGATAGAGATGGATAAAGAGAGAAAGAGATTGTCTTCCTCTGTCCCGCCATATGCAAGATCTTCCCTCTCCCTCATGCATACCCCTGTTGGGTTTTTGTGGCCTTTAAAGGCCTTATGGGAGCTTGTATAAGCATTGTATATAGTGAAACATAAACTCAATGGGAGTGTGGTCCTCGTGTGGACCATACTAGGCAAATGTGATTTACCTATACTCGACATGCTAAGCCAGTCGAGTTGGAAATACCCAAGGTACCTGGGCATAGAGATAAAACCGATAAGGGTTTAATGGGTTAGCCCTTGATGAGTCAGAGTATGCTCGGATGAGAGCCAGGGACTGTGTGACCATTGTGTGTGATGAATAGCCTTTAAAGATAGGGCTAAAACTTCATTGTTGCATCATCACATGGCATGTACATAGATAGTCCTATTGAGATAGCGATCCACAATTGAGGGCGAAGCGTGTACATGTGCGAGAGATTATCCCTACGCACCATAAAGTTGTGGCTGTATCATGGTCTGGGGGACCATGATTTTGTCTCAAGGGGAAAACCTGAAATGCACAGACTGGGACTGTGTCCCCTAGCCTATTGGCTAACTTTGGCGGTCCAATCATGAATCCTGCAATGGGCTGTGGGTCATGAGAACTGCTGTGTCAATTTGAGAAAGCTAGTGTGGATCGTGGTCCACAGTTGAATGTGAGTGCTCCAATGCATTGATAAATTCTTAGACCTAGATGAATCCGATTCCCATCAAAATTAATTAGTTTTCATTAATTTTATGTTATATGATTTTTAAAATGTTTATTTGAATTTTTGTGATTCTCTTGATATTTTATTTTTATCATTTTGATTTATTGGATTGTGGTCCACAGTTAAATGTGGAGTGCTCCAATGCATTGATAAATACCTAGACTGATCCGATGCCCATCAAAATTAATTAGTTTTAATTAATTTTATGTTATATGATTTTTAAAACGTTTATTTGAGTTTTTGTGATTCTCTTGATATTTTATTTTTATCATTTTGATTTATAAAATAAGAGAATCGATTTTCAATGTTTTAAATAATCAAAGGCAAATAAAAGCTTATTTCTAATAATCATTTTAATTCATAAATATTTGAGAGGTTCCATGGGGGCCCACCAAGTCCACCATTGTAATGTGTGTGGGGCCCACATAAGGGCCCCATGGGTGGCATACCCCACTTAGTCGTGGTACTTTCTTATTTTATAATCTTGTGAATCAAGGCAATCAATTAAACTGAAAATTTATGGAATGTTTTGTAGAGATTTTGATTGAAACAAGAATGAAATGTCTTGTATATCAAGATTGCTTGATTGAAAAAATAAGGAACAAATATTTATTAAATAAGGAGTAATATTTTTTTCTTTAAATATTTAATGGGAATACGTTTAAGAAATGAAGGATAAGGTTCTAGTACCTTCCTTTGAATCTTGATGGTGGATCAAAGGAATGGATGGCTCAAGTCTCTCACCCCACAAGTCTTCTTAGATTGACACTCAAGATTTGATCTCACTAAAGGTGGTAAATCCTAAGGTATAAAAAACCTATAAATAGGGACTCTCCCTTTTACCAAATCTCTACACCTCTTGTCTCTTCTTTCTCTAAGAGTTTTCTCTCTCTCTCTCTCTCTCTCTCTCTCTCTCTCTCTAAGATCTCAAAAAGGGGCACGCCCCAATCTTTCTATCTTTCTCTCCTTAATTGGTAAAAAGGGCATGCCCCAACCTAGCTTCTTTTTATATCTCTCCTATGTGGGTTCCAAAAGAGGCGCACCCAAGCTAGGTTGTCGCTATCTTTTTGTGAGTAGCAAAGAGAAGTATCCCCTAGCTAGTAGATCTCTCCCTCTCTCTTTGATTTCTAAGCAGTGTTCAAAAAAGCGGACCGCCCAGCTTGGGCGCATTGCCCAAGCCTGGGCGGTACGCAACCCTCCTAAGGCCTGCACCCCGCCTATGGACGGAACTTTTTTTTTTCGTTTCTATTGATTTTTTTTTAAATATAAAGGGTTTCAGAGGATAGGTTTTAAGTTCATTTGAAACATAAACCCACAAGAACCCATTTTAGAGATAAAGAAACCTCAAGAAAATATCATTTTCTGACTTTCATTGGATCGAAGCTAGATTGAAGTGTTTCTCAAAGTTATAGAAAATGGATCCAAACATCACCCAGGTATATTTGATTTAGTTTTGGAGTTTTATAATCCTATTAGAGGGTGTCTTTTATTATTTAGCACCAGAAAACATCTAAGAGGTGGGAGTTTGGAGTTCAAGCAATCAAAGTAAGTGCAAAACTTTATTTTTTAGATTGCTTGTTTTATTTTGAGATGTCTTCTTCAGAATCTAATCGAAATGGAGATCCGGGTTGAAAATATGGATATAACCCGAATTCAAATGACAAAAATTGCATTAGATGAAATTTTTGTGAAAAAGATACAAAAGGGACATAAACCGGTTTAAGAAACATCTTGTCGGTATTGAGGAGAATGTTGCCCCTTGTAAAAATGTTCCTAAAGCTATCAGAGAGGAGATTAAGCAATAAATGAGTTTTGTAAAACAAAAACGGGAACAAAATCCTTGTCATTTGAATAGATCTATTTATGCTACTTTTAGAAGAAGTAATCCAAGTTGGAAGTATGGTTATAACCCAAAACCAAATGATAAAAATTGTATAAGGTGTAATTTTTGTGAAAAAGATACCAATAGGGGTATTAACCGATTCAAGAAACACCTTGCTGGCATTAAAGGGAATGTTGCTTCTTGTAAAACAGCTCCTGAAGCTATTCGGGATGAGATTAGACAACTTTTGAAATTTAAAGAACTAGAAAATGATGAAAATGAACCTTGTTCTAAGAAAATATCTTCTTCACGTTCTTCTAGAAGTGATGAGTCGGGTTGGAAGGATTGTTATAACCCAAATTCGAATAAAAGTAGTATTAAATTTAATTATTGTGGAAATGATACTAATGGCGGCATTTACCGGTTTAAAAACCACCTTGCCGGTATTAAGGGGGATGTTGCCCCGTGTAAAAATATTCCTGACGCTACCAAGGAGAAAATTATACAATATTTGAGTTCAGGGAAGCACAAAAAGATAGAAAATGGTAGAGCAGTCAAGACTCCTAAGACCTCATCTGCACATATTAGTAAGGGGGAGGTAGAAGAGGAGGAAGAGGCAGATTCAAAAGAAACAAAGGAGGACGAGTATTATTTTGAAGAGGGAGATGAATCTGATGATGATGGCCTCGATTCTGATGCATATGGTGAAGCTTACCCTATTCCTTCTAATGATGATAATGACTGAAGAATCTTAGTGTTGA